AACCATCATTACCACTAACCGAGTTAATATATATTATGAAGTAAGTGATAAGATATCGTGTTCGAACATTGCTTTAAACACAAAGTTTAAGTTCTCAGCGAAGATTATTTCAAGCCTTTCAGTTACAAAAACATATAGGACAGATGCTGAAGAAATCCAGTACATATACCTACTTACAAACTGGCATATGTACCATACATATTAATTTACATGTCATTGTATACTGAAACGACATCAGTCCCTTCTGTTTAGTGCTCCGTGAAATTACGAAGTACAAAACATCAGTTTGATTAATAGGCGGCGCTCAACGTGCGAACCGGATTCAAAGACTATTCACGCGACATTTGGCACTGTCGTCATCGTTTTAACTTGATAAACATGTAATTATTAGCTTTTAGTATTATATGATGATTTGTAATCAAATAACATTGATTTATCAATGAATGAGAACTGTTTATCTGATCCAAGGATGGTCTCAAGACCTCAGTCTCGGCACTTGGATTTAAGTAACGAAGTAGTGAAAATAGCCATTATTATTATTTTTTTTAATTAATCCTTGCCCTACACTAGGATTTTCTCCTGTATCGTGGGTGCGTTTACAAACATACAATATCACATATACATGACACCCAGACTCGGAACAACAATCTGTGGATCACACAAAGAGTTGTTCCGTGCGGGAATCGAACCCGCGAAACGTTGCGCGGCAGCCAGTTGCCCAGCCACCGCGCCAATCGTGCAGTCATATTATTAGATAACTACCTACTTCTGCGCGGTTTTAGCTGCACTGCTCGGCGCCTTTTGATCGTAGCCTGATGTTTTATAGCCTATAGCCGTCCTCGATAAATGGGCTATCCAAAACAAAAATAATTTTTCAAATCGGGACAGTAATTCCTGAGGTTGCGCATTCAAACAAGCAAAGAAACTTTTCAGCTTTATATAATACGACCCGCCCCGGCTTCGTACGGGTGCAATATGTACTTACATACTATACATATAAACCTTCTTTAAGAATCACTCTATCTATTAAAAAAATCGCATCAAAGTTATTAGTTCAAAGATCAAAGCATATATATGGATAGACAGACGGCGGACAGCGACTTTGTTTTATACTATGTAGTGATGATAGTATATATGTAGTATAAGGTAGGCAGAGGTGTACATTACGGCACTGCCATTGTACAATGTAACACCCACTTTTCACTATTTATATTATGAGTCCCATGTAATAGGGGGTGAGCCTATTACCATATACCGGGCACAATTCCATACTTCGTGCTATTACTGTGATTTTTAAAAACCAAATACCTAATACTTTGAAAGGATGGGAAGGAGGGTAGTGAAAATAAATAAATAATACTTTGCCCGACCCGGGAATCGAATCCGAGACCCCTTGACGGCAGTCGCGCTTGCGACCACTCGGCCAACGAGGCAGTCAAATAATATAATGTACTATATAATAATAATACTACAAATGTAGTCAAATCCCATCTAACTCCTTATTTCATTAATTTTGAAATCTCTACGTAAATAAAGGCATACATATAGACAACATACGATTCCGTTCACAAGATTAAAATCGACATTGCTTCTTAGTGCTGATGTAAGACACTTTAAATACGAAACTTCTAAGAAATAATGTATGTCTTCATTCAATATTGTAATAGCTTTGACATTTTGTGTATGAATATTATCTGTATGTATCTGCGTCTGTAAGAAATCTGATCGCCACGTGCCACGAATTATGAAACATGAAGTCAGTGACTTCATTTTTGCAACTCAAGTGTAATGAACTAGTTTGCTGAATTTACAATGCAAAATTATATTAGTTTAACACAGTGAAGGGATAGACAGGAGAACCTAACGGGTAACCGGGGCTCCGGCTCGACGTGCAGGAGAAGGAACGGGGTGGTTTTTAGTCAGTAAGAGTCTGACACTCCCTCCCGCCTCACCCAGGCGGGAGCAGTCATTCGATGATTTTCCCCCCTTAAAAAAAAAAAGACAGTGATGCTCATGGACAGTAAATTTTCACATCAGATTAGGCTATCTCAAATATTAAGTTAATCTAGTATTAGGAATTTGTCTTATTAAAATGATTGTCTCGTTGGCCGAGTGGTCGCAAATGCCACTGCCGGGCAAGAGGTCTCGTGTTCGATTCCCAGGTCTGGCAAAGTATTACTGGGATTACCCTTTGAGTACCGTCATTATGGACACAATTAAATAACAATAGGTGTGCGGCCACCGGTGTCCCCGCGGTGTTGGACAGTTTAAAAAAGAAGTAGCACGGAGTCTGAAATTGTGCCCGGTATGTGGCAATAGGCTCATCCCTTATTACATGGGACTGATAAACATACATAGTAAAAAGTGAGTGTTACATTGTACAGTGGAATTACGTGCAGTAATGTGCACTTCTGCCTACCCCTTCGGGGATAAAAGGCGTGATGTTATGTAATGTTATGTTTATTAGGTGTTACAAAACGAAACAATAATTAATTGTTTTCCAGAACTACTAACTATATACTACTAATATTAAATCTTTTTATGTCAATCTATTTCTGTCTTTTCCAGGCGTTTGGAGGTCATAAGCCTGATCTGAAAGGTTTATCCATCTCAATTGGAAACTTCACTTCGCTTGCGCAGGACCTGCAGAACTACCCAGAATTTAACAAAGATGGCTTCCAGAAGAATCGTGTGTACCGTGTCGGGAATATGGGATTGTATTTGTCGAACAACTTCAGAGAATATTACCTCCATGGAATAGGGAATCCTGGTGATGAGGGAACAGTTATAACGTTTACATATAAGAATGGGGAAAATGATGACGATGGACCAAATCTTTCGAACTACACCCTTCTGATTCGTAAGAAGGACATGCCAGAAGATTTCGTGAAGCCTATACTTCAAGACAATATACAACGTATGAACTATCGCAATAGAGTTAATATTTAAACTTAACTTTGAATGCATATGAACTGTGCTATACGAGATTATTAAATAAAATTATACTTTTTTTTTAAATGAGGTTTTGTTTTTTTTTTGTTCATGATTTATCTGCTTTGTGAATTATATAATGATTCCAATTTTTTATGGCATACGCCGCTGAATGAGCAGACATATCACCTGATGGTAAGCAATCGGCATCGCCCATGGACACCTGGAACACCAGAGGCGTTACAAGTGCGTTACCGGCCTTTTGGGGATTAGGAATTTGAGGATCGTTGGGAATTCAGGGATTAGGGAGATTGAGGAAGGGGAGTTTAATTGGACCTCCGGTAACCTCACTCACACGACGAAACACAACGCAAGCGTTGCTTCACGTTGGTTTTCTGTGAGGCCGTGGTATCACTCCGGTCGAGCCGGTCCATTCGTGCCGAAACATGGCTATCCCACACTTAAATAAAAAAGTAAAATTTATATTCTTTATAGATATTAATAACGATACAGTATAAGTCAAACAAGATTGGCTTTGAATCCAACCCACACGCATTCGTAAACATTATGTTTTCTATTGAAGACATAGATTTAATAATATACTGTCATACTAGCGTTTAAACACCATAATTATGCAAAAAATAGATAGGTATTACTGTCAAAATACCTACGGATTATGTCATAACACCGAATGAGTACATAAGTATCTACTTATACGTATTTATGAAGGTACGGAAAATTTTAACAATGACCAATTAGTCCTGGTCCGTCGAGAAAATATGCTTGTTCACGCCCAGTGACGTCATTTCAGCCAACTGTTCAATAGTGCCAACAGTTAGATACAAAGTATAAAGAAGGTCACTTTATTTGAGAGTTTAATGGTTATGTGGAAGATGATGATGATGATGATAACGGCGGCAAAGTTAGAAAAGGTAAATAATTCCCTGATAATGCATGTGAAGAACTAGTCCTATTGTCCAATGTGATTGTAAATTCAGTGATCTATCTTAATTGGATAATTGCTTTGGCACAAACCAGTATAAAATGCGGTAGACTTCAACAAAGACAATAAATCACATGCCACAAAAATATGTGAAATGTAAGAATTGCATTAAAATAAAACGTCGTCAAAACAATTGATTAGCAAACGAAGGCCGAAATTAAAAAAAAAAAAACAAAAGAAAAAAGTCAAATAACAGAACGTCTTGGAAAACAAATAGCTTACAAAAAATAGACGACCTTCAATAGCGTCTGATGGTAACAAATTGTGTAGTAAAGTACCTATACACTTGATCACACGTAGTTATTTAAATAACTACTGCATTGTATAATTCGCGTGCGAAAAGATATTATACTGTGTCAATAACATGATGAGTTCCTCCATTGTGCACGATCTAACGCTGCTTACACACTTCGGGACAGTTTGGGACCAACCGTCTACGTCACAACTTTGACTTTGACAAATGACAGTTGCGGTTCATTAGGAAAAAATAACTGTTTTTGGATGGACGTGAGATCGTAAAATTCATTAATCATCTATAATTAAAAGGAGTTTCTTAAAACTACAACATTTTTTGGTGTCTTGAACTTTTCCGTGTTTATATTTGAAGATACAGATGGCAGAGATGGAATTTATAGGAATGTAAAAACTGCCGTGTGGACAAGATTGATATTATGATACTTAAGTAATAGAAAAATGGTTCATGACCGATTCAGTTTCTTCTGCTCTAACTCCATGCAGTGTTGTAAAAAAATATTTGTTGTTAAACGAGGACACTATTAAAATCTTAATGAAGAACACATTTTTTATAGTTTCCTAATTATGAACTGTTGAAGACTATGAACCCACCATTATTTTTAATTATTTTGACTCTAACAACAACCGAGGTATCTATAGAACCTAGGTATTTGAGTCAAATGATGATGATCTATTGGAATGTTCGTAAGTCATAATGCTGATAAGGACAGAAATGACTATCAGTGGCGCCGATTCATTAGACATAGATACCTAATTATTTCATTCCATTCCTTTGTTTCTAGTTACAGATTAAATTGTGCGAATGTGTAGTTACAGCGTAATACGGTGCATATAGTGTGCGCACTATGTATGGAACATGCATCGTCGAGGCACGTGACTCAAATATTTTCACCGACAATTCATGCAGTTGAGGAATTCCTTGGAAATATTGAAATTATGATTGAAAGTCTATATCACATTTGGACTCTGTCAAGAAAGTATAGTCAAATACTAATTTACCGATTTATGGTATATGGTATGGTTTAATTATGGTATAATTATGGCATGGTTTATGGTATAGTTTAATTAGATATGATGAGTTTAAATATAGCACTGTATTTAATCCATAGATGTCAAATTCCACTCCAAATTAGGACAACATGTGTCAATCTAAACAAATTCTTTTCATACCATAAGTATATCATCCATTCCCTGACATAAAGTAAATGTGATTTAGACGAGTAAAGATTCAATTGTGATTATTTTGTCTGCCAAAGTAGTAAATATTTCAACAAGCGACCCGTTACATCGTCCCGAGCTTGATACTACACATGTACTGACAAAAGTTCCATGTTCAATGTAGCGGTGACGCAACTTATCGTAAAATAAATAATTTGTGTAACATTACTGTTCGTTTGTCCAGTGCACTATCTACTCAATTAGTAATGCAAAAGTTCATGCACTTGACATTTATCTCGCAGTGGTTATCATTATTTACTACAATATTTGCAATAACTGTCACAGCGAACGGAAACGATACATCGTGTACTACCCTGGTCTAGAACGAACATCATATTCCGAAATGAAAATAATCGGAAGTTCCACGTGAACACACATTCACAGATATAACCACACGTTACACACTAGGCGATAATAAAACAAAAACAGGCGCTCGCCCTTTGTTTACAAATGACGCATGAGGCATGAAGCACATGCAATCTATAAGTCGCGGAGTCGTTTACCTTCCGCGCGACGAGACGCCCGCCATGTGCGTAGATGCGTAAGCGCAGCGCGTCGAGCGGCGTCGGGCAGAGAGGCGGAGCTCGCGGCGGCGCGCGGACGATGCCGCGCTGGCTGTGGGCGGCCATGATCCTCGCGGCGGCGGCCGGCGCCGGCGCCTGGGCCCCGCCGGCCCCGACCCTTGTGCTCACCCCGCGGGTGCGCAGGCATGTCGGACACAGCACCACCCGCCACCTTCAGCTGCTCGGCTGGCATCTGGAGCTACAGGAGAATAGGCAAATACGATCTCCTTACTACAATGAGTGCAAGTTCTACAGAGGAAGAGTTTTGAACGAAGAGCAGTCGTCCGCGACAGTGACGGACTGTGATGGTCAACTGTATGGGCTGCTGCAGGTCGGCAGCGAGGAGTTCGTGTTGCAGCCGACAAGAAAAGAAGGATCAGCACATGTTCTGCGGAGACGTGACGTGGAACTGTCCGAATGGGCCGCCGCGTACAATCTCACTGGTGACACGGTCACCGACCTTGAACTTGACTTCGGAGAAGAGGCCGACCCGGTGCCAGAACCACATGTTCGAGCCAGATACAGTGTTCATCCTGATACTGACTATTTCCGTGGACCAAGAACTATCAGTAGGCCAGTTTCAGGTGCGGTGACAGTGATCACAAGTTGAAATTTATCCAAGTTTATTAGTTTTGACCGAGTACAATATAGTGGTTAATGTTCCAGGTGTCAAGGGTTTGTGGCTCGAAATGGCCATTGTGGCCGACCATACGATGCTCAAGTTCCACGGCAAGGAGAGAGTGAAGCACTACATTCTCGCGTTAATGAACATCGTGAGTATGAGCTTTCGCACCAGAGAGTGGACGCGCGATAGTGTTTATTTTGGTCCGACGTTGTCGGTGCATGGATACTCATTGAATCTTTATGTAACACATTATAGGTCAGTGCCATCTTCAACGATCCCTCGCTGAACTCTAACATGACGCTCGTAATCAACAAACTGTACCTGTACGAGGAGAAAGATTATGTAATAAAGTATGGAAACGTGAAGAAGTCTTTGGAGGCTGTGAATAAATGGAACTACAGACATTTGATGAAGTTGCCAGCAGGTGCTGTGTGAGAGTTTTATTTTTTATGTGGTCAGCAGCGTTGTCTTGTGGAAATTATAATCTGCCACTTTATTTTAACTCTGGTGGATTAGTAGTAGGTAGAGTGTCACATGCCACGGTTTATTCTAAGATTTATTTTACTTGTAGCGATGTAACAACTTCCGGTGTGAGCACTAAATCACGACTCTGATATCATGCTGTAATGACACATGTCCCACTTTTTTACTTCACTGATTTATTTAGCGTTTGGGCGTGCTCATCACGTAAAATGTATGAAATATATATTTCCAGTACATATATTTCAAACACACGTGTTGCAAAATACAGCTTCAATGGTGCGTACAATTTTAAAGTTAATAAAACATTCAAATTTAATACTATAATACTATAGTTGTGACTATATTACAATGACAACAGCAATTATTTATTATCTGACAAAACAGTTTTTTTCGAAGCAGAAATGTTGTTGAGATTCGCAAGTCTGTAATAAATTTGAATAATCATATTTGTCTGTCCAGCTCAGCTCGTGCTAATTTCTGTTTTCATAACATTTTCCTCTATACTAAAAAGTGAGCTTTAAAAAAAACTTCAAGGAGAATTTTTTATCGCATTCATTATTTTAATTCAACACGACATGTTTTATAATTATTTTGACAATTCGCAGATAGTACTGGATGGGATGCAGCAGTGTGGTTGACTCGAGCACAGCTAGGTGGACCTTCAGGGTTTGCTCCTGTGGGTGGAGTCTGTTCAAGAACTAGATCTGCTGCTATAGACCGGGATGAGGGTCTCACCAGCGCCTTTGTAATAGCACATGAACTGGGACATCTGTAAGTGAATATTAACTATTCTACTTTCTTCTATTCGGTTACTCACACTAAATAGCAAAAATTACGCCTTGGTCCGTTTACTGACCGATATTTGTGGATTCCTGTAATAGGTTCAGCATTGCTTGAATGTAGTCAGTCTATGAATGAGTCGTAAACAGCAGGTGTGAAGGAAC